CCATGTGGGTAGTGCCAGCCAGCCTCTTCATTTGAGCTTTTTGCTTTGATTCTGCATTTGAAACACATTTCAGATAACATGTTTATATCAGGAACACAGAACCAGTCCTGTGTGGCATAATGGCAGGACACTCCTAAGGATTCCCATGATGTTACAGAAAGAACCAGTGTGTTTGGCATGGCCCTTAAAATGCATCCACAGGTGTTACTCCAGTTAGAAGCTTTAATGATCCAACAGAAATAACGTCAGGAGCCCTGAAACAGTAGATGTTTAGTCAGGTTATGTGATACAGAGGAAATAGAGCTATGCATTTTGTGTGTGTGTGTGTGTGTGTGTGTGTGTGTGTGTGTGTGTGTGTGTGTGTGTGTGTTTCATGTATTTATCCTCAGCAGTAGCTGCAATCCAAGTACAGTTCATAAAGGTTGATAATCAAGGAGATGATGCTGGCTTGGCCTCCATATTGGTGGATTAAGACTCGAGCTGGAAACATAGTTATTCATGTTTTCCACTGCTGCTTGTGCACAAGTATTCACACTATTTTTACACTAGCTGCACCATAGCATCCTACTTAAGGGTCTACAGTTTTTACTACAGCCTAACAGATGGCATGCTTGTCAACTGTCTTATAAATGTAGCGGTCCATCTTTGACCTGCTCTATTTGCTCTGCCCAAGCAAAACCTTAAGTTTCTGACACAAGCCTCATCTACAAGATATGGGCCAAGGCCACTCATGCTCTGTGATCTTATCTAAACTGTTGCTTCGGACAGCAGAAGAAAGAAGAACTCTTTTAGAAACAGAACTTCTTCGTCTTCGTCTTCCTCTGCTTATCCGAGTCCGGGTCGCGGGGGCAGCATCCCAATTAGGGAGCTCCAGGCCGTCCTCTCCCCGGCCTTGTCCACCAGCTCCTCCGGCAGGACCCCAAGGCGTTCCCGGACCAGATTGGAGATGTAACCTCTCCAACGTGTCCTGGGTCGACCAGGGGGCCTTCTGCCGGCAGGACATGCCCGAAACACCTCCCCGGGGAGGCGTCCAGGAGGCATCCTGACCAGATGCCCAAACCACCTCAACTGGCTCCTTTCGATCCGGAGGAGCAGCGGTTCTACTCCGAGTCCCTCCCGAATGTCCGAGCTCCTCACCCTATCTCTAAGGCTGAGCCCGGCCACCCTACGGAGGAAACTCATTTCGGCCGCTTGTATCCACGATCTCGTTCTTTCGGTCATTACCCAAAGCTCATGACCATAGGTGAGGATTGGGACGTAGATCGACCGGTAAATCGAGAGCCTGGCTTTGTGGCTCAGCTCCCTCTTCCCCACGACAGATCGGCTCAGCGTCCGCATCACTGCAGACGCCGAACCAATCCGCCTGTCGATCTCCAGATCCCTCCTACCCTCACTCGTGAACAAGACCCCGAGATACTTAAACTCCTCCACTTGAGGTAGGACCTCTCCCCCGACGGTCGGGGGAGAAACAGAACTTTTCACTTTAAATAATAATTAAATAACGTCTGTTAATCAAATAATCATGTGAAGCTAATGTTCAATCAATCTGTGAAATGAGAATATTAATTATTTGATTTATAATACTATGATAGTATTTTAATAAGTAATATAACTTTAAACTACACACTAGACTGATCACACGTAATATAAAATCACATGACACATTCCTTTGTCTCTCCAATCAGAACCTTCCAGATCTGACGTGAGGCGTGGTTTTGTTGGTGCTTGGTAAATCCCCCTTTGTTGGCAAATTCTGATTCAACCACAAATCAAAACATCCAAATTACAAAACTATGCCCCGCGTCATCTTAACTTGAGTTCAAAGCATTCTAGAGAAGTTATCGGAGTGGCCAATCTGTAACGTTCCTCTTCAGCCGAAAGAACCTAACGACAAGCTGGATTCAATCTGTTGCACGTTCCACCTGCTGCAACGGTTCCTTCAGAATAAAAGCTGAACCATCACGACCCTTCAGGGTCTCGCTGATGCCAATAAACTGTCGTGACCTAGGAGTAACTCAAGACTGGAAGGGTCAGCAACCGCTGCATAGCTACAGGCGTCGGTTCCAAGAAGGTCCAGGCTGGACCCCCGACATTCCGGATCTAAACGGGGACTTCCGTAGGGGTACGTAGACCGACAGATGGTGTCTCAATATGTGTGTTATGATCTCCAACCAAAGCTTAGAGCGAAACACCTTTTCACTCCCATCAGAACTCATCGTTTCTCCGGATTTGCTGGTTCTGAACATATTCACACACACACACCATCCTCAGTCTTACTCCACCTTAGTTACATCATCACATAGTGTTTAAAGTTAGTCTTGTTCAAGTTGTTTAGAAATAAATATTTTAACTTTTAAAACCTGACTCTCTCTCTTTCTTGGAGTTGATACGAAGTGTTGCTCAATCCCTGCAATAAAAAGATCCGATCTTCTGGTTAAATTCACTCAAAGATCCATTCAGGTGATATTTCATATTTCATGATATTTCACATTCTATGGTTTCTAATTAAATGTAAGAACATCTTCTCTACATAAAAAATCTGGAAACCTAAGAGAAGTTTGCATACGTTCTCATCTGGGTTTAGATGGCTTTTGTGTTTCCAGAGTGGAAATTTATCTCCTTTCACAAAAGTTGCTCAAAATGTGCATTAACGTTGTTTTCTGTTTTCCATTTGGCACAAACAGTTCATGAAGCATGCAGATGGCATAATGACAAAAATCTGCGTCGTTTGAACAACATGAATGGACAAGTAGGATTTGTGGATTTACAGGCTTAAAGACAAGACAGCTTTATTTATATAGCAATGTCCTACAGAAAGGCAACTCAATGTGCAAAGGGTCAGAGGATGGGGGAGAAACATGATGAAAATGGTCTTCAGCTTGACAGGGTTAGGGTTAGTCATGTATGTGGAGTGGAGGATAGGACTACCAGAGGTAAAGAGGCAGCACTGACAGGATCAGGCGAATGAATCAAAGTCAAAAGTCTTTAGCAGCTCACCAACAAATGTTCTGAATTAGACTGTTCTCATAGGATAAGAGTCAAAATCGTCCGCAGCCCACCGCAGAGCATCACCACCCAGATGGAGCACCAAATGGGCAATTTTGTCGTAGTCTGAGGCGGACAGGTAAGGAAAACAGCGGGCCCAGTCCAAGAAAGTTTTTGCAGATTTCAGGATTTCCACACCTGTCCGGGTGCTGTGGGGCTGGTGTCGCTGGATACACTGCTGGGTCCATGTTGGTCCGATTGTTATGTCAGGTTTGGACGCAAGTGCAGTGCTCCAGTAGAGACACAGAGTGAGTTGTGGCAAAAATAAACAGTCCTTTATTTTTAATGATGTAAAGAAAAATCCAGAGGCTCAGGAAGCAGAACTGAACCAAGAAGTGTAATTTGAGAATAAGACTAACAGCAGCACAGGAGGTGACTAACAATGCTGACAAGAAACACAGAAGACAAGACCAGGGCTTAAATACACGGAGGGACGTGCTCAGGGAAACGGGGAGAGGTGTGTAGAGAGGGACTGCTGATGGGAAGCATGGCAAATCAACAAGCTGAATGGGGAAGAAAAAACAGGAAAGGAAGAGGCCACTAACTAAACCGGATTAAAATAGAACACTAGGACTAAAGGGTGAGACTAGAAAGCTGAATGGAATAAACCAATCTAACTAATCTAATCTAAATCTAAATAAACAACAAGTGAAGCACTAGATTAAAACACTGGAGAAACCAAAGGCAGAGGGAATCTAAATGACACAGGAGAGGAGACATGATGGGAAACAGGAGGAAAGGACATGGGCAGTATCAAACAGGACTAAAACAGATGGAGATGTTCAGTTTCTTCTATTTGGGAATGATTGTTTTGGTAAGAAAGGGGGAAAACTCTTCACCTGTTGGCTTGAAGCCTTCTTCATGAGTTGTCGTCTGTGTGGACGCTAACATGGCGTATAACCGGAAACCTTGGTGTGCGGGGTGAGCGGATCTGTCAAGTCCGCGGACCCTTCCACACGCGCTCGGTGCTGCCTTGATGAGGACGTCCCAAGTATGGGACAGCCCCCTCATCTCTGTTGAGTCCACACAGATGACAGCCCATGAAGAAGGCTTGAAGTGAGAAGCCGGTAAAGAATAATACACCTTTCTTACCAAAAAAAAAAAAACGTCATTGTTGATTAGAAGAAACTGTGTAGTGTGAGTGTAGAAAGAGCAGGCCTGATGAGCTTCATCTGCGAGATGGAAATGTGTTTTAGAAAGAAAAGGGATGGGCAGCCGTACGGTCACTGGAATCATAAACCCAAATGAGCAGCGTATAGATAAAGGGTATGTGCTGGGTTAGTGCCAGAGGCCAGTCCTTAATAAGTAGCATGTTCAGATAATTAGTTACATGTTCATGATGCAATCACAACAGGTTTATATATATTGTATGGGCATGTTAAGGAAAAGTTATAGGGCACCCATGTTTTGGCTCTTGGAAACAGCTTAGTAATTGAGAGTCTCCTGGCCAAGGATCAAGGCATTTGTAACATCATAAGGAACGACTTCTAGCTCCAAACGCTTGCCAGACTTGAAATATTTAAGAGTAGGCCTCCATATTACTTTTCAGTTCTCTGTGTGCTCACACATTCCACCATCAGCTGACCAGGACGTGGCATGTGACACAAACCGCTGTTGTTTAGCTGCACACTTTCACGGCCTGATGATTTTCAACCATGTCAACATTGTGGGTGGGCAGGGGCTGCAGCCTTTAACCCCAAAAACCCTTGATAGGAAGGAAGCAGTTTGGACAGAGACAGAAACAGAGCCAGACCCAATGACAGTAAGTTGTTGCAGAGTGGAACATCTAAATATTCCCATGTTGTCTGGGAAACCAAAGTCTTCCTCACTAAGGTCACACTTCCTTTACGGTTTTCATATTTAATGACACGTTGAGCATCGTGTGTTGCAGCCATTGCTTCACGTAGACAATAAAAAAATCTATGCTATTGAACAAATGTTGATTTTCAAATTACCTTTTCGTCTTTCTCTATTTCCAGCCCCATTTTTCTCAGTTTTTCTTCAAATTCTTCTCTCTTTAATGATCTGTGATCTTCTTGACTGTTGTTGTTTTCTTCCACACAGCCCATTTCCACATAAGCCACTGCTGATGAGGCATCTCTCCTTTGGAGCTGGTGCAGCTGAAGATCTCCACCTTGGATCTGTGGGCTGTGGCATGCACTGTGGGTTACAGTACTTTCAGTGAGTCGTTGCTCTGACCGTTGGCTGCAGCGTCCTTCGCTTGGCTCCCTAACCGGATAGGTGAGAATGTAGTCAACACGCTTCTGACCATCCTGGAGGAAGAGCCCATGCTGGCAACTGGCATTCTCCTCTGGAGTTAGAGCCTGCAACGGTAGACAAAGTGCTGGTAAGAATGGATTTTATTGGTCCTATTTTACTTTTCTTTGACAAGAATGTCATATTTTATTTCCAAAAATCTAAAAGATCCATATGTTTATTCCAAATTGTGTCATGATGTGTGTGTGTGTGTCTGTTGTGTCTTTATGTTTTTTCTTCATGGAAACTCGAATGTGTGAAAATATGCTTTCTTAAGTTTTCTCCACTGTGAGATCAATAAAGTCTATTGTGTTCTATCCTATGAGTTGGCTGTGAACAATACATCCAGCATCACTGGCTGCAGGTTAATTTCAGTCAAGTTAAATTTCAGAGGATTTCAAGATCCTGGTTCTGGTCTATAGGGCCTTACATGGACAAGCACCATCATACTTTGGTGATCTTCTTAGTCCCTACACCCCCAGCAGGTCCCTGAGGTCCAGTGATCAAAGCCTACTGGTTGTGCAGCACCAGGCTAAAGACCAAAGGTGACAGATCATTTGGTGCTGTGGTCCCCAGACTCTGGACCTCTCTCCCCCTGAGCCTGAGATCAGTGGACTCAGTGGTCTCCTTTAACAAGCAGCTGAAAACTCACCTGTTCAGGCTTTGGTGTGACCTTCATCACCCTCTCCTTATTCTGCTCTTTTTGCTAATCTCACCTTATCCGGGATCCACTGTTTTCTCTCTTTCTTATTAGTTTTCTCTCTCCCTTTCCTTACATTTTTGAACTCATTCACTGCCATTGACGACTTTAGCAATGGTTGGACTCCTGAGGCAGATAAGGCTTTTGTGGAGTTAAACCAATTTTTACAAACAAATGTTGTTCTCTCGTTGCCTGACTACTCCAAAGACTTTTTCCGTTCTGTGGATGTAGCAGAGGGGCACATGAAAGCTGTGTTACCTCAGAAACATGGCAGCCAGCACAGACCTACAGCTTACTACTCGATTCAGTTGCAGCCGGTCTGCCCAGCTGTGTACAGGCGTGTGCTGCCGCTTCAGAGGCTGTTATGCAGAGCGCTGACGTTGTCCTGCAACATCACCTCACATTACAAGTACCGCACTCTGTTGCGTTGATCCTGCTGAGAACAAACCTGTCCTTTCTGACACACAATAGACATCTCACATATGTTTCTACACTGTTGTCGCAGTGACATATTGAAATAGTGCGCTGTGGTGGTTTGAACCCTGCTTCACTCTTACCTGCTGACATAGATGGAGAACAACATTGCTGCAAAACACTCACGAATGGAATAGCAAAACCACGTGTTGACATTTTAGACACTCCTCAGCCTGACTGCATCTCTCTTTATGTTGATGGGTCGGCTACTAAAGATGCTTCTGGGAAAAACCTGGTTGGTTATGCAGTGACCACTCAAACATCAGTTATTGAGGCTAAACCATTGCCTCCTCATTGCTCTGCCCAGGTAGTGTGCACTGGTGGTTGTGACTAGAGCCTGCCAGCTGTTCTCAGTACAAGACATAAACATTTTCACTGATAGTGAGTATGTTTATGCTTCAGTGCACCACTTTGCCCAGATTTGGAAAAACTTGGCATGGTCACCTCCTCTGGTAAGCAGCTGACTCACACTTCAAGGCTCTTGGAGCTATTGGAAGCAGTACAACTCCCACGCAAATTGTCTCTGTGCAAATGCCCTGCACATCAAACATGACTCTGATGTCACGAGAGGCAATAATTTTGCAGAGAAGCTAAATCTGCAGCCCTCTTGCCTCTCACCCTTGGAGCTTCCTGTTACAGCTCTGGCACAATCTCACGTGACATCCTACATGAAGCACAGACTTCTGCTTCCGATCAGGAACAGCGGTCCTGACTTAGATTTAAACCTGTAAATATTGATGTGTGTTGCATGTAAATAACTAGCCTATTTTGCCTAAGTCTTTGTTTCCCACTGCTGCCCTTATGAGTCATGGGTTGACCCATGTCTCAAAGGGGGGATGTCTCAGTTAATCAATAGTACATTTCATGCCATTAATTTTTCTACTTTTGCTAATGACTATTGCAGAAAATGTTTAATCTTTATGAAAAACAACGCTCAAGGGCGTTTAAGACCGAAACAGGGACACTCCCCAACACCTGCTTATCCATTTCACACTATACACATGGGCTTTATTGAACTATCACAGGCGCAAGGAACAAAATATTGCTTGGTGGTAATAGACGCCTTATCCAAGTGGCCAGAAATATATCCTACAAAGAAAAACAATGTTCTAACAGTGGCAAAGGTGTTGTGCAATCATTTTTTTCCTGCTTATGGAATCCCATCGTTTATTAGATCAGATAATGGGACACATTTTGTGAATGAGGTATTGACCAGTTGCTCTGAAACCTTAGGGTTTGAACTGAAACATCATTGTTCTTATCACCCATCTTCAGCTGGCTTAGTTGAATGTACGAACGGAACAATTAAAAATAGGCTGGCTAAAACAGTGGCTGAGACAGGATGTCCATGGCCTAGTGTCTGTCATTAGTAAAACTGTGGATGAGGGTAACAGCTCTCTCTGGTGGACCAACACTATTTGAAGAGGTTCATGGAAGATGATTTCCTTTCCCCCACATCATGGATCCTGTGATTCACAGTGACAGAGAAAATACTTTGGCAGATTGGATGGTTAAACTGTTTAGTGATATACAAATCAAGATAAATAATGATCTCCCAGAACCCTCTTGTGCTTTTTCGCCCTCACAGGTCGTGAAATCAGGAAATTGGGTTCTCATCAAGGTGCTGAAAAGGGACACCTGGCGCTACCCGAGGTGGGAGGGACCATTTCAAGTTCTTCTGACCACCCCGACTGCTGTAAAGATTGCTGAGAGGCCATCTTGGATTCATCTATCCCACTGCAAGCTCATCAATGTCAACTCTAGCATGGCAACGAAGTCCCAAGCTCCATCACACATGAGTGATCTGATTGTTCCATACGTTCCTAACCGAGCACTTCTCTCTCAGACTGCAGGTCTACTGGTGGTTCCCAGAATATCTAAAAATAGGATGGGAGGCAGATCTTTTAGTTATCAGGCTCCTCTCCTGTGGAACCAGCTCCCAGCTTTAGTCTGTGAGGCAGACACCTTGTCTACTTTTAAGACTAGGCTCAAAACATTTTATTTGATAGGGCCTATGGTTGAAATCTGATGTTAGCCTAGCTCTGGACAAGTGGGGGAGCACAGGGAGGTGGAGTGTACAGTCGGTAAAGACGGCTCTCCCTTGCCCTGCCTCCAACATGCCTCCATCTAAATAGGATAGATTATCCAGAGTTATCTCTGTAGTTATGCTGCTATAGGCTTAGACTGCTGGAGGACACACTGACCACTTTCAACACTCTACTGCTTTCTTCTACAATCTGCTCTTTAACTGTACTATTTTCTGCTATTTCAGCTGTTAACTTTATTTTCTCTCTAAGTGATTTTCTCTCCAGACGAAGCTACAGTGATGTTCTGCTGAGCTGTGGTGGCCTCATGGAGGGGTCCATCGTCTAGCACACTGCTGCTAACCACTAATGCATTCTCTCTCTCCTGATAATAACTTTTTGCTTTCCTTGACGTTGGATGTGCTACTACTAGTTTACCCGTTTAATTATAGATTCACTAGGATAAATACAATAAAGTTTATCTCACCAAATAGAATATTTACTAAGAAATCCCAATATAACTATAGACACATTACTTTGTCCTGTGTGTGTGTGTGTGTGTGTGTGTGTGTGTGTGTGTGTGTGTGTGCGTGCGTGCGTGCGTGCGTGCGTGTGTGTGTGTGTGTGTGTGTGTGTGTGTGTGCCTGCTCTGTCTTCTCGGTCCCCAGTGAGTCGTGGAGGATGGCTGCTTATACTGAGCCAGGATTCTCTGGAGGTTCCTTCCTGTTAAAAGGGAGTTTTCCTCTCCACTGTCGCTTTATGCTTGCTTAGTATGAGGATTGCTGTATAGTCACTGACACTAGTCAGTGACTTGATGCAATTTGCTGGGTTCCTTTTATAGGAAACATTATTTCTGATTGGCTTAATGAACTGACCTGAATTGGAATGTTTATTATGTGAAGTGCCTTGAGACGACTTGTCGTGATTTGGCGCTATATAAATAAAATTGAATTGAATTGAATTGAATTGAAAGGTTCACAAAACAAAACATCCTATTAAAGGGACTTCACTGAGTTTTGAATTTTTATGTTCGCGATTGCCCCCTCAGGCCAAAAGCATAATCGCAGCTTCAATAGTAGGCTCGTGCACGAGGCGCGCATGCTGTAAGTGCACACTCCTTAACGAAAATAACAGCTAAGACAGTTCCTTGTGTGTGTGTGTGTGTGTGTGTGTGTGTGGCCCGGAGGACAGAGGACAGGAGAATGCGCAGCTAATTAATTAAATCATTTGGTTCTGTACCTTTCTCTTCAGTTGGGCCGACAAAGGTTTATGATGGGTCAGTCCTCCTGCATGCTCAGATCATTCCCTTCGCTTGCTTGAAAAATTGTTCCACAATGAAAGTTGAACCCACATCTTTTTTATCTGTGAATTCAATGCCGTTCGGCGAGTCTCAAATTAAAATGTGGGCATCTTACTGTAAGAAAATATACCATTAATGTAAAAAAGAAACTCTAAATAAAGTGTAATCACATCCAGAATCGAACCCAGGTCTTCTGAACAAAAGTCCTATGTCTTACTAGGCGAGCTAAAGCACCAATGATGTCCTTTGTATCTGTAATATTTATATCCTTGATGACAGCTGAAACAATGTTCAAAGAACGGTGCCCGAGCGTGAACGCGCATGAAGCAGCCTGCTCGACCCGAGCAGCTCTCTTTTTCTGTGATTTTACAGAAAAACAGGCAATCACAGTAAAAATGCCAGGGCTCATTCTACAGGACCAGGGCATTGCAGGAGAATGTATTAAGAAGAAATTTATTATTTCTATACATGTTTTGGCTGTCAAACTTCCATAATGCCCCTTTAAGATATGACTGACAAGTAACGCCCCTAACTATTTTACAACATGGCACAGTATATAAAGATAAATAAAACTATAATATAATGATCCCGTACAAGAACAAATAATAAAATGACGAATTCAACTCAAGATCCCAACTGATTTTGATATAATTCTACAGACAAATTCAGTGTGTTATTTCCAGTGTTGGGCAAGTTTCTTCAAAACTGTAATGCATTATTTATTACTTGCTACCCTCATTTTAAAGTAATTCATTACATTACAATATTACTGATTTTAAAATGCAAGGCATTACACTACTTTTACATTACTTTAAGTTACTTTCACCAAAACAAATTCAGTATGAATCTGGTAATGTGACGCTCAGTGAGCTCATGACATATATGTGGAAAGTGATGTGGTGTCTGAGCTAGGATTGCTGTTAAAAACAGTCAGATATAATAACAGTGCTTTAAAATGATTGTTTATTAAATAAAAGCAACAACAATCTGTACTCTCAGCATGCTGCTATCTTATAGGGCCATCTGAGCAGGGAGTGAGGTGGTGGGGGCTCCTAGCCTATATTTGCCTTGGTCCCCAAATGCCTTGATACGGTCCTGAATGTGAAACTGACTTCTGGAGTGATCTGATTCGATCACATGTATAAATATTAAATGCTTATATATTATTGCTTTTCACTGGTAAAAATGTGTATTGGGGATAAATCTACCTACTTTTTTCTTTTTTTCTTGATTTTATTTGAATAATTTCCGGCCCTTTCTCTCTCTAACCTTCCTGCATGCTGCATGTTTTCTCCGTCTTCCAAAACTGTTTCCTAGATTTCCTACTTTCTAACTAATCAGCCAAAGGGATCTACCGAACGCAAAACAAAGCTTAATATGCGCTGCGCTCCAGCAGCAATGAGCTGAAATCACCGGGGCACAGATTATGAACTCAGCTGAAAAGTACATGAAGTACCAGAGAATATGGGCTGATATAAACGATCACAAATGAATGACTTTGTTTTGGTGGAGCGATTTTGTGAATATAACAGTAGCCGCGCGCAGAACGCAGCTGGAGTATTTGAGCCATTACCGCTGCGTCCTCTCTGCTCATAGAATGCCGCAAAGCTGAGTCCATAAATGACATCATATATGTGGATACTGGATCTTGTTTCAGGCTCCCCGCAATTTGAATTTTTAGGAAACCCACATCTTTATTCTGGGTTTAGAAATGCATTGTAATTATCGCGTTACTGACACTTGTACAGAGTAATTATAACCATTTTCTTTACCTGTAATGCCTTACATTACCACATTACAGCAAAAAGCAATGCATTACAGTAATTAATTACTTTTGTACCGCGGTACTCCCAACACTAGTTATTTCCAAGTTAGTTTTTCATCAATAATAATGCCTATATATATATATATATATATATATATATATATATATATATATATATATATATATATATATATAGATGTGTGTGTGTGTGTGTGTGTGTGTGTGTGTGTGTGTGTGTGTGTGTGTGTGTGTGTGTGTGTGCGTTTGAGAACATATTCTCATTTTCAAACATGATCTGGCTAATGGGTCTTGGAAGGAAAACTAATAATAATAACAATAATAATAAAAGAAAAGAAAAATAACAACCACAACAGCAATAATAATAATAAATAAAAATTATTTTTAATACAACAAAAACAACAAAAAATACTGATAAACACATAACAGATCAGACATAATAGGTTATCAACAGGCATTTATCAACAAAAATAAAAGAACATGTACACATGCGTGCAGGAGAATCATTCCATGTATGTGTACATGTTCATTTATCTTTCAGACCCAGATTCAATTTTGTCAAATGCCTGTTGATAATTGTTGAACTTGGACAATATTAATACCCTCAAAAACCATGTTTGTCTTCTGCACTAGGTTTTATTTTTTATTCCAAAAATGATAAAGCTTGTTATTTGAATATTAAGTGACAATTTCTTAACCTTGATCCAATCAGAAATATTAAACAATTCTTCATTTGCTTCTCTTACCAGACCATCTATGTTTGTGTGTGACATTAAAAGTTTTATCAGCAAACATCAGAGACAGTGCCTTTTGCAAGCTTATTTTAAAAAGATAGAGATTAAAAAGAAAAGAGGGCTCAAAATGGAACCCTGGGGAACCCCACTATTCAACTCTAGTAGAATTTTGATTATTAATGCAAATATATTTCTCCTTTTCTAAAAGTTGGCTATGGAATAAACTTAAAGCAACATTTCCTATTGTGTACTTTTGCAATGGTGCTAAAGGAATTTTAAAATCAGCTGTATCAAATGCTTTTGACAGATTTAAGAAAACACCCAGAAAACGTTTTTATTATCTAAATCAGAGAAAATCTTGTTGACAAATTGTAAGTGCCATTTCTGCCTAAATTGCTTTCTAAATCCATATTGATGATTACACAGAGTGCTATTCTCAAACAAATACTCTACGATTCCTGAATAAACACATTTTTCAAGAATAATAGAAATGGTAAATGGCCTGTATTTGATATAGCGCCTTCTAGAGTCCTGGAACCCCCAAGGCGCTTTACAACACAATCAGTCATTCAGCCATTCACACACACATTCACACACTGGTGGGGATGAGCTACAATCTGGCCACAGCTCCCCTGTGACGCACTGACAGAGGCAAGGCTGCCGAGCACTGGCGCCACCGGTCCCTCCGACCACCACCAGCAGGCAACGTGGGTTAAGTGTCTTGCCCAAGGACACAACGACAGCGACAGACTGAGCAGGGCTCGAACCTGCAACCTTCCGATTACGGGGCGAGCACTTAACTCCTGCGCCAACATCGCCCCGAAAACACAGGTAACATCGAAATAGGTTGATAATTATGAAATAAACTAGCGTCCCCAGCTTTTAATAATGGAGTTACCTTAGCTATTTATAAATCCCTTGGTATAAAACTGGTTTTCAGTGACAAAGATGGAATATATTTAAAGGGCTCCAAAATAGATGGAGCTGTTTTCTTTATAAGACTGGCTTTTATCTCATCATGGCCTGGATCATTAGCGTTTGGAGGGTCAAACTCATCTAAAATAGTCACAATTAGAATTTGTGCAAAAAGGGCAACAATGCTTTTAGCTAAAGAGGGACCAATATCAATAAAAAATCATTCATTTTACAGTTACTAAAATCTCACAGCATGAAGAGAGGCTCCTGGAATAGCTACTCTGTTGTCAACAAGGTCCTTCTTAGGCTACATTTTCTGTCCTAAACAGAAAACATTGTTCCCAAACTTCCTCCGCAGAGTTTCCCATGATTCTGAAGAACATGCAGGCGGTCTTGCTTGGGGTTTCATTTCAGTCTGCACAGACAAGAAGTCCACACCCTTTCTGTTTTGATCATGGAGTTGAGAATGTTCAAGTTGAGCCAGGTGTCACTGAACACCACCACGCTCAACTATCGGCATGCAAAATACGTCTTCATCATGGGGTTCCTCTATTTTGGTTCTGAGAGACTACACGTTGTAGAGAAACACGCCGCTTATCTGGTGATAGTGTTGTAAATCTGTGACATCCTGTAGTCCTCTGATAATGCTTTTTAGGAAGGGGAGGAATTTCTAACATTCCCTGCAGGTCTGCAACTGGTGCAATGATATGAACAGACAGGAGAGGGTGTCCGCTGCATGGGCGGATGCTTCACGTGTGGACATTTTTAACATAACTTCACCAGATGAGAACATTTCCAGGCCAATAATATTCCTTGTGCATTGGAATTTTTCTTAGATTGAATAGAATTGAAATTTAATTGTCTAAACATTCACGTAAACTATGATGGATGTTATTTAACCACATTATCAACATGTTAACCACATTACCAACATGAAATATAATATATTAAACCTGCTCTGATGATAGTTGTTAAAAAACACTCATCTTCATTTATATTTAGAGTGAACCTCTAATGCCACATCACTCCTTCCATGCTTCTGTTGCCATCCAAAATGTTTCCGTTTCAAATGATTACTCGCCTTAAACTTGCCGTGGAAGATGACATCTCGTAGAAAATGTGGTTCCTGCTTGAAGTCAGAGGTTAAAGGTGGCTGTAGTCCTGACTCTGCCTCATCTGTCATAATGTTGATTGAACGAAGAAAAGAAGCAGCAGTAAGAAAGCAAATGCCCTACTTTGTGCTCCACTTTCATCTGGGTGTCTCTACTACGTGAAACATCTAGTTATAGGAGAGCTCCACACTCAGTGTGGAGTTGCTGAAGTGAGCCTCCAGCCTTGACACTTGAGATGTTGTCTGTTGGCCAAGTTCTAAACTTAGGAAGCCATAAAGCTGAAGAAAAAGTTCCCACCCTTCGGATCTCTGTATTTGCTAAACTGTAATGAGCAACTGCTTCATTTTTGCTGCATCTTAAAACATCAGAGAAATTCTTTCACTTAGTGTTCTAAATGTTACACCTTATTAGTCGTTAATAAACCCACTTAGTGGATTATTGTTTAGTTATGATTTACTTCTATTCATTAATGTGTGTGTGTGTGTGTGTGTGTGTGTGTGTGTGTGTGTGTGTGTGTGTGTGTGTGTGTGTGTGTGTGTGTGTGTGTGTGTGTGTGTGTGTGTGTGTGTGTGGTGGGAGGTAGCAGTCATTTATGCCAACGTGTTGTATTGAAGTAGGGATTTCAGGTGTCTTGCTGAACTACAACACCCATGATGCAGCAGAGCAGCAAGTATCTGGTTGCTTTTCTCCTGGTTCGTTTACAAGATTAAATTGTAAACTTCCTTCCATTAATCTTCCATTGTCAACTATCAGCTTATTAACAGTCACAAGTAGAACCAGTATAATTAAGAGAAATACATGACGGTACAAAAATGAACACAACTAAACCCCAGCATGCAACATTATTCACTTAATGCATCAGTGCTTACTTGCAGACTCAACATTACATTTTAAATATTGCATATAAAATCCCCCAAAATACATAGAAAAAGACATAAACTGTATTAATGGCTGGAGAACCCAGAACACCAGACGTTTATGACCAATCCCTCTCCAACAGGTTAAGAAGACAAATTTTCTCCAGGATTCAGTTCAGTGTGCCCTGTTAAATGCTCGCTCCATCTCAAACAAATCCTTTATTTTAAATGAGCTGTTCATTAGAGAAAAGTTGGACTATTTATTTCTTACAGAGACGTGGCAGCAAGATAGATAAGTGTACACTTCAATGAAATACGTCCACCAAATGTCATGGTCTGCGTCTGTCTTCCCCATGTGTCTCCTGGTGTCCTCCATCCCTCTCTAGATTCCCTCTTGTGTCTCTTTGTTCCCCAGCTCCTCTTGTGCTCCACTCCATGTTCTCCCCTTGTGCTGTAGCTCTTTGGCGCCCTCATGTGTCCTTTTTCTGCGTGTCAGTTTAGTGTCTTATGTTTATAGTCCTTTAAGTCTAGTCCTCCCAGGTTTTGTGTCATCTCATTCTTCCCCAGGTCCTCCAGGTCTCGTTTACATTCTGTGTCCTTGTAGTCCCCAGCTTCCTTGTCCCCAGCTCAACGTGTGTGTGTGAGATCCAGTCTCCTGCTCAGTTTGTGTGTTTGTGTGTGTGTGTGTGTTGTTCTGTGTGTGTGTGTGCTTGTCCATTCCCCTTTCCCGTTTATATATTAGTGCCTTGGTGTGTGTGTATTAGTCCTTCCCGCAGCCTTTAGATTTAGTTTTGGTGTCTTAGAGTTTCTTAGGTTTATTTGGCCCTCCTCTGTTTCTGTTTGCCCATTTTGATTATTAGGTTCACCTGTCTTCCCTCCAGCTCTCACTTCACACACCTGCTCCCATTTTCCCTAATCACTTCTCCCAGCGTATTTAAGCCCTGTCTGTCTCTGTGTTCTTGTCGGTCCATTGAATGTTTGTTATTCTGTCAGTCTCGTCTCGTTTGGATTACCAGTGTTCTTTGCCCCTTGGACTTTCTAGAGTTTTTGATCTCCAGAGCTTATCTGGAATTTTGGACTTCTGGCTCGCTGCCTGGATTTACTTTTGTTCCGCCTTCAAAATAAAGAATTTTTACTTTTCATCATCTCTGCCTCGTGTCATCCTGGGTAACTGCATATTTGGGTCCTAACATCCTCAGAACGTGACAGAATGGACCGACCAACCAGGACCCAGCGGCCACGGATGTACACCTTCCACGGCGACCCGGACTCCTGTAAGACTTTTCTTCTGGACTTTGTTAGGCTTCATGACACGGACACGCCAGACATTGATCTGGTAATTAACCTGGTGTTCCTCCTAAGGGGGAGAGCTCTGCAATGGGCCAGCCTATATTTTGATCAGAATCCAATTCAGGAGTTGGTGTTTTGGGACTTCGCAGAGGATCTGCTGGACGCCTGCAGCAGCCCACAGTTTCCCTCCTTCTCTGTGGATTATAATCCATCAGCAAGCGCCATATTAAGAGCTGCCTTCTCAGCATCTAAAAAGCACCACGCATCCACATCTCCGCCTGGTTCTGACAGCACCACCACTTCCTCTACGGTGGGCTGCCACCACACTTCTCCAACTGTTCCTGCCGTCTCCATAACTCAGCCTCCTATGGTCTGTGTCACCACACCTCCACCAGTTCCAGAGAGCTCTACCACACCCTCACCTGGTCCCGACAGCACCACCACTTCCTCTCTGGTGGGCTGTATCTCATCCTCAGTGCCTGCCAGCGTCACCTCCACACCTCTGTTGACCCAAGACTACCCACGTCGACGACGTCGCCGCAGCCGCCGTCAGAGGTCTTCTGGGGCAACAGTTCAGGTGGCTCCTGCTCCAGCGGTGGTCCCGAGGGTCGCATCGCGTCCTGCTCCAGCGGGGGTCCCGAGGGTCACTTCGCATCCTGTCTCGACGGTGGTCCCGAGGGACGCATCGCACCTCGCCTCAGCGGTGGTCCAGGTGGATGCATCGCACCTCGCCTCAGCGGTGGTCCAGGTGGACGCATCGCACCTCGCCTCAGCGGTGGTCCAGGTGGACGCATCGCACCTCGCCTCAGCGGTGGTCCAGGTGGACGCATCGCACCTCGCCTCAGCGGTGGTCCAGGTGGACGCATCGCACCTCGCCTCAGCGGTGGTCCAGGTGGACGCATCGCACCTTGTCTCCGTGATGGTCCAGGAGGACGCATCGCATCCTGCCTCGGCAGTGGAGGACACACGGGCTCTGGTCCAGGCCGTCCACGGGCCCCCGGGCCAGAAGTCGATGCCTCCCGTCTCGGGTACCGAAGTGGACGCACCCGGCTCGAGCCCCGAAGTGGACGCACCCGGCTCGGGCCCTGAAGTGGACGCACCCGGCTCGGGCCCCGAAGTGGACGCACCCGGCTCGGGCCCCGAAGTGGACGCACCCGGCTCGGGCCCCGAAGTGGACGCACCCGGCTCGGGCCCCGAAGTGGACGCACCCGGTTCGAGCCCCGAAGTGGACGCACCCGGCTCGGACCCCAAAGAAGACGTCTCGAGCCTCTGCTCTGAAGCGGACATCTCTGTCTCAAGTCTCCCCACACGTGTTCCAGTTCCCCAAGCCTCAAGTGTTCCCATCTCGAGTGTTCAAGTCTCCCAGCCTCCCGAGTCACAAGCCTCCCAGTCTCTAGCCTTCCAGTCACCTCAAGCCCTCCAGTCACCTCAAGCCTCCCAGTCTCTAGCCTTCCAGTCACCTCAAGCCTTCCAGTCACCTCAAGCCTCCCAGTCTCTAGCCTTCCAGTCACCTCAAGCCTTCCAGTCACCTCAAGCCTCCCAGTCGTCTCAAGCCTTCCAGTCACCTCAAGCCTCCCAGTCTCTAGCCTTCCAGTCACCTCAAGCCTTCCAGTCACTAGCCTTCCAGTCACCTCAAGCCTTCCAGTCACTTCAAGCCTCCCAGTTTGACGTTCCCCAGTCTATGTCCCCTCAAGTTCCCCAGTCTGAAGTTCCCCAGTCTACGTCCCCTCAAGTTCCCCAGTCTGAAGTTCCCCAGTCTACGTCCCCTCAAGTTCTCCAGTCTGACGTTCCCCAGTCTACGTCCCCTCAAGTTCCCCTGTCTGAAGTTCCCCAGTCTACGCCCCCTCAAGTTCCCCAGTCTGAAGTTCCCCAGTCTGTGTCCCCTCGTAGTCGTGGTCTTTGTCCAGAGTCCCCTGTTAGTAGTAGTCCCCCTCAAGTTCCCCAGTCTGAAGTTCCCCAGTCTGTGTCCCCTCGTAGTCGTGGTCTTTGTCCAGAGTCCCCTGTTAGTAGTTGTCCTGTGTCCCCTCTTAGTCATGGTCTTTGTCCAGAGTCCCCTGTTGGTAGTGGTCCTGTGTCCCCTCTTAGTCATGGTCTTTGTCCAGTGTCCCCTGTCGGTAGTGATCCTGTGTCCCCTCTTAGTCTTGGTCTTGATCCTGTGTCCCCTCTTAGTCTTGGTCTTGATCCTGTGTCCCCTCTTAGTTTTAGTCTTGGTCCTGTGTCCCCTCTTAGTCTTAGTCTTGGTCCAGTTTCCCCTCTCAGTCTTAGTCTTGGTCCAGTTTTCCCTCTCAGTCTTAGTCTTGGTCCAGTTTCCCCTATCACCACACTCCTACAGTCCAGGCTCCTGGTTCCCCGTCGCCGGCCCCCCAGACTCCCACAGTCCCGGCTCCTGGTTCCCCGTCGCCGGCCCCCCAGGCTGACACAGTCCAGGCTCCTGGTTCCCCGTCGCCGGCCCCCCAGACTCCTACAGTCCAGGCTCCTGGTTCCCCGTCGCCGGCCCCCCAGACTCCTACAGTCCCAGCTCCTGGTTCCCCGTCGCCGGCCCCCCAGACTCTTCTGTTCCCTCCTCGCCCGCCCCTTTTTGGGTTGTGTTTTGTTTGCTCCCTCCTCTCCCTCCCTCTGGTTGTTTCGTGTCTGGTTTTGGTCTTGTCTTTTGCTTGTGGTGTTTGTCTGTCTTATGGTCGTCTGGTATCCGCCCTTAGAGGGGGGGGGGGGTACTGTCATGGTCTGCGTCTGTCTTCCCCATGTGTCTCCTGGTGTCCTCCATCCCTCTCTAGATTCCCTCTTGTGTCTCTTTGTTCCCCAGCTCCTCTTGTGCTCCACTCCATGTTCTCCCCTTGTGCTGTAGCTCTTTGGCGCCCTCATGTGTCCTTTTTCTGCGTGTCAGTTTAGTGTCTTATGTTTATAGTCCTTTAAGTCTAGTCCTCCCAGGTTTTGTGTCATCTCATTCTTCCCCAGGTCCTCCAGGTCTCGTTTACATTCTGTGTCCTTGTAGTCCCCAGCTTCCTTGTCCCCAGCTCAACGTGTGTGTGTGAGATCCAGTCTCCTGCTCAGTTTGTGT